TTAAGGCCTACTCGTCGGAGTTGAGTTTTTCTAACCCGAGGGGACTGATGCAGGCGCATTAAGAATTTCATTTTATTTAGTATTTTCATTAGCTTAGGATTTTATTTTCTTTATTTTATTTAGTTTGAAATTCTTTTTTCTATCTTTATTAGAATTTTAGTACTTTAAGTCTTTATTTAGGATTAGGATTACTATTTGATTAGGATTTATCTTAGCTATTATAAATGGGTGATCTTAGATAGAAGATTATTATTATCATCTTTTGTTATTTTGAATATTTATTTAAGAGGTTTCTTTTAAAAACTCAATTTTTTGTCTATTGTTCCAACACAATCAACCCTATTCTAGCCCTAATTGTTGAGTTCTAATTGCCCTAAACTCTTTGACTACATCAAAAATATAGATAAGAAAATAATTAACTAATTGATTTATCTAATATTTCAAGTTTAATAATAATAATAATAATAATAATAATAATAATAATAATAAGAACGTATGATGAATGTTATTGTATACTAGAATTACTCCTCGCTTCTCCTTTGGGATTTTAGATTCTTACTTTGAAATTAGCATAATCTCCGAGATTATAGTAATTTATCAAACATATAGTTTTGGACCTTTAGATGTTGGTGTAGACCTAAAGAAAATAAACTTTTTTCATTTTATAATTTTTAACTTTTTTGTCTCAATAATTAAATTCAAAGCTTTCAAGATGAAATCTCAATTCTAGTTGTTACGATATCACCTTTCAGACTTAAAAAAAGAACTTTATAATAAAAGATATAGTGATTTTTAATGGATCATTTTTTGAATACATTATTTTATTAATATGCATTTCAAAAAATGATTTATTGATTCTTATACTTTTATCGTCGTGATGAATATCAGAGTAAACATTTGATTGATTTGATGGTTTTATTTTAAAATTTTAAAAATTAAATTGTCAAATTCCAATAAAATAAAATCAAAACCGACCGAGCTATAATAAAAAATAAAAAATAATCAAAGTCAACTTATTTTGATAAGTTTGATTGATTCTAACTATTTTCAGTACTATTTTTTCAACAATTTTTAGCAATATTTTCAATAACATTTTTCAAGAAAAAGATAAGTAAAACTACTAGTCTTCACATTCTAATCAAGATAAATCAACCTACATAGATAGTTATGCTATAGCTAGGTAGCGGTGATGAGGCTTGGGTGAGTCAACTAGAAGATGGGTGCCGGTGGGGAGTCAAGTGGTCATGGGTTGGTCGTTGTTGGTTGCTCTCACTAGAGAAAAGAAGCAATAGAAGTAGTAGCCAAAAGGTCGAAATATTTTGGAGATTAAGGTTTTCTCAGTATTAAAAGGGATTTTTTTAAAAAATATTTTTTAAGTTTATTTTAAAATATTAAATATATATATAATATATTTAATTAATGGTCAATTTTTCAATCAATTTGATTGTAAAATTTTGCATATTAAAGATTGAAATGAAATTGTTGAATAAACTACTCCTTTGAATTGATTAATATCAGGATAAAAAAAAACCATCTGCATTAACTGAATTTGATATCTATTTTGATCATTTATATCAATTTGAACCGATTAATACTCACCCCAATCAAAATGTTCCTTCCGTGAGTGTTCTCCTTAATCATGATGTAAAATGCCAACTAGTAACACAGGTCACTTAATATGGTGGTTGATGTGTATAATTTAAAAATGCTTAGTTAGAAAATCATAAAAGGTATTTTTAATTTATTTTGGACAACTTTGGGTTTAGGGAATCATTTTAGGGGTATTTTTGACATTTTAAAACTATTATGGGGTGTTTTCGCCATCATATTTTTTATCTTTGAAAATTTTTGAGGAGAGAAAAAAAACCTTTGAGAAAAAAAAATAGGGAGAGAGTGAGAAAGAGGAGGAGGAAGAGGAGGAGAGGGGAGATTGGGTAGTGCAAGGGATTGATTTTGGCTCTTCATTGCTAATCTGGCATTGCGAAAGGCCAAAATTCCCCTCACAGCATCGTATTGATGTTGAAAGTGCCAAATTTAGCCCATTGTGATAATGTGGGTGTATGTTCATTAAGCCAGTCAATAGGTGTACCAAGATATCTTTTGTATTCTAAGCATTTATATTTAATGAAAAAGCATTCTTCATTTCTATAAGAATAGTAAAGTCAACGGGATAAACTAAAGTTCATGGAATATTATATGCTTTACAAAAAGAATTATAAAGTGTTATAATTATGAGATCTTTGTTATATCAAAGCATTATTCCTATATTGTTCATAATCAATGTTTTATCAAGGATATTGATAAAGCTGAGTGATTGACACATGATGATATTCCTAACCATGAAATGGGCAATTGACCTCATCAGTTAAAGTAGGAAGATACTTGCAATAACATGTGGGTGTTTGTTTCTTGAGCAAGTTCATTGAATATGATCATATGAGAATTTCATTTAGTATATCAATTAAGTGTCTATGGATAAAGTTTGAAGGAAAATAAAGCTCTGAATAGCATCCAGATTGACTATGTGCTTAGGGTGATTTGAGCTATACATTATCCCATATCCAACCTTAACCCTAGCCATACATTACAAGCTAATTAAAGTTCTATTGATCTTTAACATAGTGTTAGCCTACACTAGTGGAGAGAGAGATGAAAAGCAAACTTATGGAGTTAATTACTAATTTGAATTTTGCATGAATATAAATTTATCCAGATTGTACCATATTCTAAGTGAAGAGATTGCACACACACACGGAATTTCACTTAATGATGAGTTTGCATTTGAATTAAGACATGAACTTGAATAATATCTATGTGTTGCCTAGAGTTATGAATATGGATTAACTATTGAGGATATTAAAGGTAATTAATGAAATGGTGCAATTGAAGTCTAGTTAAATGTTTTCATGTTTACGTTATTGCATGTTGTTTTATGTTTTGCTCGAGGACTAGCAAAATCTTAAGTTTGGGGGTGTGATAACTCTATTAGATAGAGTTATTTTAACTCATTTTGAGAGCTTAAGTAGCTAGATCTTTGAGATTTTAGGTTCGAATTTTAGCATTATAGGTGTTTTTTTAGTTTAAGTTTGATTGCTTATTAAGTGATTAATTTAAGTTATTTTAGTTAAATTGTAGGTTATTTTATTTTAAATTACTTTAAGAGTAGTTATTGCTAATTTCTCTTATGGTTTTTGTAGGAAATTGATGAAAAAGACTCATTTGATGAAAATTAGTGCAAGTATGGTGATAGCTTCATTCGTATATGTTTCAGTATTTTGACCATATCTCTTTTTAAAAAACTCCAAATGAGGTGATTCTTAGACCAATCGAATTATAAGAAGAAGGGATACAATGTTTATGTTCACCAATTTGCCCAGTTCTGATTGGATCATGGTCAAAATATTTGTCAAAGTCGGACCACTGCAGCAGTATGTAAACACTGAACATGATGCGGTATTTGGAGCAAACCTTTCAATTCAGAAGTCCAATTGATGTGATTCTTAATCCATTGGAAATTTAAGAGACAGGGATAAAACTTTTATGTTTACTACTTTTCCCAGTTCCTAACATATCAGGGTGAAACTCACGTTTGAAGTTGATAGACTGCCACAGTGCTGGGAGAACAAGGCTGCAGCGTTGATGAAAGGAAGCACACATACAAAATTCCAGAGAGCTCAGCGCTGCAGCGCTGGAGAAGTAGCGCTGCAGCGCTGGAGAAGTAGTGCCGCAGCGTTGCGCGACTTACCTAAAAATAAGGGAAGTTAACGGGATTTCAAAAATTAGGTTATTTGGAGCCTATTTAAGGAGCCTTTTTCAGAGATTTTGGAGGGGAGGCAGCAAGCAACTATTCTGGAGATTTGGAGCCAAGAACAAAGCAAGGAAACAAGAGAATTGGAGAGAGAATCAAGATCACAAATCTCTAACTATTAGTTTTCTCTCTTACCTTTGTGTTTTTCTTATTTTCTTTGACTTGGATTCATGGCTAAATTTCTTTGGATATTGTTTTTATTAGATACTATGAACTAAATTATTTTTCTAGGATTGCAATTGAACTCACATGTAATCCAATTTTTAATCTCTTTCTTGCTTATTTTCAATAGGATTTGAACTGTTTATTCCAATTTGTTCTTAATGCTTTTAATTGCTTGGCCACCAATTAAATTGATCTAGGAACTAAACAAACTTGGGAAAGGGAGTTTAGTGTAGACTAAAATTGGGATAGCATATGATCATATTAATTGATTTTCGTATAGGATAGGGATATACCTATAGGCTATATGTAGCCAGATTAGAGTCTGAACTTAATGAGTCTATTTTAATTTCAATTCACATAGGGATATAGTGTTTTAGTTTAAAATAGATATTTTTATAAGATGAGTCGGAGACCTTTATAAATAATTTAGGACTCTAGGTTAGCAATTCAACCCATTTATAAGTTAAGAAAGAGAGGTAAGATTTAGATGAAGTGTGAGGGATATTGTAATCCAGGCTTGTTTGATTTCCTGTTTGCCCAATTATCTATTTACTTTAATTTGTAATCAAATTAGTTTTAGTTGCGTAATTTTTAGTTCAGTTAGAATTAAGATTTTAATTGTTTAAATAAAACTAAATTATTTTAATTTTAGTACTTAGTAAAATTTTAGATCATTTCCCTGTGGATCGTACCTCTGCTTGCTAATATACTATCTATTCGATATGTATACTTGCATAATAAAATTTTAACTGACAAGTTTTGGCGCCGTTGCCGGGAATTGTTTCTAGAATTTATTACTAATACTAATACAAGCAATTTAGTCTTACTTTAAATTTTATTTTTCTTGTTTTAATATTAGATTTTGTTTGTTCACAGATCTCTCTTGGTCATTGCATGCAAAGAAGAAAACAACTTGAATCTTGTTCCTTTTGATCCTGACATAGAAAGAACTTTGAGAAGACGTCGAAGGGAGAATTTACAAGTTACAACTTTAAAATCAGACAATGGCTGAGGATAACAAATAATAATGGCAATAATGCCATTAATTTGGTTCCCGAAGCAAATAGAGCACTACGGATTATGCTGTTCCTGTGTGCAAGGTTTGCACCAAAGCATTAAGAGACCTTCCATCAATGCAAATAATTTCGAAATTAAGCCAGCTTACATTCAGATGATTCAGTCTTCAGTCCAGTCTTCAGTCCAGTTTAGTGGATTACCTAGTGATGATCCTAATTCTCATTTGGTAAATTTCCTAGAGATTTGTGACACCTTCAAGTACAATGGAGTAACTGATGATGCTATTAGATTGAGACTGTTTCCTTTTTCTCTGAGAGATAAAGCAAAAAGTTGGCTTAATTCATTGCCTAATGGGTCTATCACTACATGGGAGGACTTGGCACAAAAGTTTCTAGAAAATTTTTTTCCACCTGCCAAGACTGTAAAGATGAGGAACGATATCACAATTTAATGGTGAGTCCTTGTATGAAGGTTGGGAGAGGTTTAAAGAACTACTAAGAAGATGTCCACATCATGGGATTCCTGATTGGTTGCAAGTTCAGACATTCTACAATGGGTTGGTTGGGTCAATAAAAACCATAATTGATGCTGCCGCTGGTGGGGCATTAATGAGTAAGAATGCTGTAGATGCCTACAATTTGTTGGAAGAGATGGCCTCCAATAATTATAAATGGCCTTCAGAAAGGTCGGGTTCGAGAAAAGCTGTTGGAGCTTATGAAATTGATGCACTTGGCACTTTAACTACTCAAGTAGCTGCGTTGTCCAAAAAGCTTGATACACTGGGAGTTCATGCAGTTCAATAATTTAGTTCATAGTATCTAATAAAAAACAATATCCAAAGAAATTTAGCCATGAATCCAAGTCAAAGAAAATAAGAAAAACACAAAGGTAAGAGAGAAAACTAATAGTTAGAGATTTGTGATCTTGATTCTCTCTCCAATTCTCTTGTTTCCTTGCTTTGTTCTTGGCTCCAAATCTCCAGAATAGTTGCTTGCTGCCTCCCCTCCAAAATCTCTGAAAAAGGCTCCTTAAATAGGCTCCAAATAACCTAATTTTCGAAATCCCGTTAACTTCCCTTATTTTTAGGAAAGTCGCGCAGCGCTGCGGCGCTACTTCTCCAGCGCTGCAGCGCTGAGCTCTCTGGAATTTTGTATGTGTGCTTCCTTTCATCAACGCTGCAGCCTTGTTCTCCTAGTGCTGTGGCAGTCTATCAACTTCAAACGTGAGTTTCACCCTGATATGTTAGGAACTGGGCAAAGTAGTAAACATAAAAGTTTTATCCCTGTCTCTTAAATTTCCAATGGATTAAGAATCACATCAATTGGACTTCTGGATTGAAAGATTTGCTCCAAATACCGCATCATGTTCAGTGTTTACATACTGCTGCAGTGGTCCGACTTTGACAAATATTTTAACCATGATCCAATCAGAACTGGGCAAATTGGTGAACATAAACATTGTATCCCTTCTTCTTATAATTCGATTGGTCTAAGAATCACCTCATTTGAAGTTTTTTAGAAAGAGATATGGTCAAAATACTGAAACATATACGAATGAAGCTATCACCATACTTGCACTGATTTTCATCAAATGAGTCTTTTTCATCAATTTCCTACAAAAGCCATAAGAGAAATTAGCAATAACTACTCTTAAAGTAATTTAAAATAAAATAACTTACAATTTAACTAAAATAACTTAAATTAATCACTTAACAAGCAATCAAACTTAAACTAAAAAAGCACCTAAAATGCTAAAATTCGAACCTAAAATCTCAAAGATCTAGCTACTTAAGCTCCCAAAATGAGTCAAAATAACTCTATATAATAGAGTTATCAAAGTTTCACATGACAGTTGTGTAAGTGATGCTTAGACTTAAGACCATCTTGTTACTTTATGTGTGGAATGCTATGCTTTGATCTTATCTAAAGTGGTCATAACCAAATATGCTCAAAATAGATAGATGTTGGGTATAGTGTGAAACACATGAAGGTAAATGAATGATTGATAGTGAATTCATCTTAAATGAAACTAAAAGAATATATTTGAGTACATCTTGGCAAGAAATAACTCAAGGAAACCTTTGGCCAAGGTAGACAAAAATTTCAACAAAAGAAGTTTGTCAATTCTTAGGCATTTGACGTCTAAAGGGAATGCCAATAAAGGTCTGCAGGCTTTAAAGGTCCATCTATTGACTTAACTAAGTTTCTTGGAGTTGGAATATCCAATTTAATAAGACAATCAAAGAGTTTGATTTTATCAAAAACGAGAATGAACCATGTGTGTGCGAAAAGATTAATGGAAGTGCAACCATTTTTTCAGTGCTATATGTAGGTGACATATTACTTATAGGAAATGACATTCCAAGGCTACAATCTTCCAAGATATAACTAACCAAGAAATTCTCCATGAAGGATGTGGGAAAAACAACTTATATACTAGGAATAAAGATCTATAGAGATAAATCAAAAAGGTTACTTGAACTTTCTTAGCCCACATACATAAACAATGTGCTAAAGAAGTTTAGCATGGAAGAATTTAAGAAGAGACACTTGCTTATTTTGTATGGCATATTTCTCCCTAAGAAGATATGTCCTAAGACATAGAAGGGAGATATCACATGGATAAGATTTATATGCTTCGGTAATATGATCTATCATGTATGTGATGCTATGCACAAGACTAGATGTATCTTATGCTATAAGTGTTATGAGCAGATACTAAACTAATATTAGTGAATGTTATTAGATAATAGTATAGAATAGTCTTAACTAATTAAGAAGAATTAAGGGTGTATTTTTGGTTTATAGAGTAGGATCGACTTACAAGTACGAGGTGAAATGATGCAAAATTTCAATTCAACAAGGATGACATGAAGTCACAGAATGTATATGTTTTTACTTTGAATGGCGAAGTAGCCTATTTGAAGAGTTTCAAATAGGATATGATTGTAGACTCTACAATCGAGACTGAATACATCTTTACCATTTGAGGTGGCGAAAGAAATTATTTGAATCAAGGAATTTATCACTAAACTAAGTGTGGTTCATAACATTATTAAGCTAATACCTTAGAATTGTGATAATAATAGAGCCATTGTGCAAGCTAAAGAGTCAAGGTCTCATAAAAAATCCAAACATATATTGAGACAATATCACTTGATCATGGAGATCATATAAAGAAGGGATATAAAGACTAAGTGTGTTCCTCTAGTTGATTATCTAGTAAATCCATTAACTAAGGCTTTGTCCCAAAAAAAAAAAGTATGACCACCGCATGAAAAAGTTGAATATTAGATACATGGGCTATTGACTTTAGTGAAAATATTTGATAATGTAGATGTAGGTCACAAAATTCAACTAGTTGGTTGTATAAGGATACATTTTGTATTTTAAGCATTTACTTATAATGCAAAGACATTCTTTATTTTCATAAGGCTATTGATATTGACAAGGTGAGACAAAGTCCATGAAATATTATATGTTTTCCAAAAAGAATTATAAAATGTTATAATTATTAGATCTTTATTGCACCAAATTATTATTTCTAAATTGTTTGTAGTCTATGTTTATCAAGAAATAGACATTGATAAAGTTGAGATCGATACATGGTTATGTTTCTCACTTATGAAGCGGATAATTGATCTAATAAATATAAAGATTTAATATAACATTTGGGTGCTTGTTACATGACTAGGTTTATTAGATATAGTCCCATGAGAATTTCATTTGGTATATCACTCAAGTGTTTATGGAATAAATTCTCATATGACAGTTATGTATGTCATTTTTAAACTTGAGATTATCAAGTTGTCTTATGTGTGGAATATTATACTTTGGTACTATCTAAAATAATATTGATTAAGGATGTTCAAAAAGGACGGATGTTGGGTATAACATGAAACACATGAAGGTAAATATATGATCAATATATGGATGATTTATCACCTTAAGTGAAACTAAAAAGAATATCTCATTGCATCTTGATAAGTAATAACTTAAGGAAGCCTTTGGCCAAGGTAGGCAAAGATGTCAAAAACAAGGTTTGTCAATTCTCTATAATGAGTTTGATTACAAGATTCAAATACAAAAATGACAAAGAAAAAATAGAGTAGATACGATACCATATTCTATGTTTTGTTAATATATTAAATAATGAAGGGATAATAATTACACTATGAGACAATGCATTAAAATGTTGAGCCAAATCACTATAGCTCTTCTTAACATTTATATAGTCATGATATATTGCTAGACGTCAATCATAACTTATAAATATGAACTAGTTAATTAAGGAATTGATGATGAATGCAAAGGAGTTTGATTCATTTAACCTTAGTTTATCTTAAATTGTAGTTTATGTATGTTGTTAACATGTTAAGAACCTGATGAGTTACACACATTAAAGAGTGATAATTAAGAATGTAAATAGGAAAAGTAAGTTGGACTTAGCTAAAAGAAGTTAAGAACTTCAAAGACTTATTAAATGATTCAAGTTAGTCAAAATGCAATTTTGCAATTAACATAAAAGATTTGGAAATCTTATTAGGGTTGGGATTAATACAATTGTCTATTAATATAATGCTTGTGCTACATGAAAGAGACAAAATAGATCCAAAACCTTGAGAGGCAAGAAACGGGAGAAATTGTTAAAGTCCCCATCCTTAAATATCAACCTTAGCCTCTTAACCTTGAGTTTCATATATTAAATATTTATAAAACAATTAATACACACATCATTTGATAAACTTTTGACACATGTGTAGCATATCTATTCCTATATATTAAAATTGTCCCCAGAAAGGGTTAATTGTGTGACATCTAACAGTTTCAATTTGTTGACATGTGGCATGTAATTGGAAGCATTATAACCTTGAGCTCTTTTTTGAATTGGGACACACTTAGTATTATGAGAAGATGGATTGTGTTTTTCTGATTTTTACTTTCAAATTATCAAGAGATTTTTCACTATGCATTTTGGGTGTTTGCTATAATTTAGACTTTTTTTTGGTCTTTTGATGGTGGAAGCCTTTTTTATTCCAAGGGTATTGTTGGTTTTTAAATATGTTCCAATGTCATTTCGATTATTTCTTCTCACTCATTCTTTTAGAATATTCTTGCATTCTTCCCCAATTTACTCCATTTTTGTGTTTTGCTTGTGTTGCTCTTTTGTTTTGTTTTGTTTGTCGATGTCCTTTCTAGTCTTTTCCATTCTCTTCAGTATTATTGGTTTGTTATCTTTTGTTATCATCTTTTTCTTTCAGTTATTCTTTTGGAATATTCCTACATTGTTGTCGATTTTCTCAATTTTTTGTGTTGCTTTTCACTTTTTTTTTTGGGTTTTTTTGGTGCTCTTTGCTTACATATTTGCTCTTCATTTCATTGTTGTTTGTTTAATCCTTTGTTTACTTGTTTTTTTTACTTCTGTTTCTTTTATTTTTTTTCTTTCTATTTTCATGTTTGGTTTCTATGTTTTCTTTGCATATTGAAGTTTTAGTTCTTTTTGGGTTTTTTATTTGTTATTTAATTTGCTTTGACTTTTTTTTTCAATTTTTTGCATCTTTCCCTTGGATTATATTGTTAGATTTTTGAACTATTTTTTGTTATAAAAAATAATTGGGGTTTCTTTTTATTTTTGTTTTTTCCTTCGTTTAATTTTGTAATGTTTGTGTGTTTTTTTTAATTCTTTTTTATTTGCATTTTGTTTGTTCTAATATGTGTTGGTTTTCATTCTTTTTAGGCATAATATTCAAATAAGCTCGTAAATTATTCAAAAAAAATTCAAATAAGCCCTTATTCTTTTTTTT